GTGGCGCACGGGCTTTGTCGCTCGAACCGGTATTCCCTGCGTTGGCAGGCGGATTCTTAACCACTGTGCCACCAGGGAAGTCCTGTGTATGTGTTTTGTTTTTGCTGTTTTGGTGATAGCTTCATCGAGATATAATTAATATATCATGCAATTCACACCTTTATGGTGTACAATTCAATAGTTTTTGTATATTCACAGGTATATAAAATATATAGTATAGGCACAGATATACAGTGCAGACATCACCACAGTCAATTTTAGAACATTTTTACCACCTCAACAAGAAAGTTGTTGGTGACTATAGTTAATGATACTGTATTGTATATTTGAAAGTTTCTAAGAGAGTCAACCTTAAAAGTTTTCATCGCAAGAAAAAAAATTGTAATCATGTGTGATGATGGATGTTAACTACACTTGTTGTGGTGATCATTTTGCAATATATACAAATATGGAATCATATCTTGAACACCTGAAACAAATATATTATATGTCAATTATACCTCAATTTAAAAATGGAAAAAAAAGAAACCTGTACCTTTATCTATCACCCATAACTTCCCATCACCCCTGAGCCCTAAGCAACAACAAGTCTACTTCTTGTTTCTATGGAATTGGCTAGTATGGAAATTTCATATAAATGGAATCATAATATAATATGTGACCTTTGTGTCTGGCTTCTTTCACTTAATGTTTTGAGTTTCATTCATGTTGTAGCATGTATCAGCACTTCATTTTTTTATGGTCAAATAACATTCCATTGTATGTTTATACCACATTTGTTTATGCATTCATTACTGATAGACATCTGGATTGTTTCCATTTTACCTGGGTGAGAATATGGGTGCTCCCCTGGCCTAGGGTGCCCTGCTTTGCCAGAAGAGGAAGGAAGTTTTCTGGGAGCAGATGGAGGAGACTGGTGAGGCTCAGGGAAGAGCCATCCACTGGCTGTGTGTCCCCAGCTAATCCATCACCTTCCGGAAGTGTCCTTCCTACTTCTGTCTAAAGAGGAGGGCCAGGCAGGACTGGGAGGCTTGTAGGAATTATATAGACCCTGGAGTAAAGATTCAGAGCCTTGGCTCTCTGCTAGGCAGGGTTGGAATCCTGGCTCTACTGAGAACTCATTCTTAATGGGTTGTTTAACCTCTCTCTGCCTCAGTGTTCTCATCCCTTAAATGGGGATAATATTAGTACCAACTACCTGAAGCTGTTATGAGGAGTAAGTTAGTCTATGTAGAGCACTTTATCCAGGATCTGGCACTCTGTGGGTGCCGGAGGAAAGAATATTGACGCTTTCTTTTATCATTTAAGGCTTAAAGCCGAGAGCCCACTCTCAGCACTAGTTGGTAGTTGTCCTTCTTGCACTGCCCAGGGGGACAGGGGGAGGTTGTCTGCTCTGTGGGTTGTGAGCCCAGATTCCAAGCCCTCAACCCCAGCTTCCACGGTTGGAGTCGGCGTCGGGGTGCGGAGAAACCAGACTCACTGCCAGAGCTGCGGGACAGAAATCTTTCTGCTGTAGCCCAACCTTCCTTCAAAAGCGGCCACTGAGAGAAGGCAGTGAGCGGTGAGACCCGGACTCAGCCCTGCCTTCAGTCCTCCAGCTCGGAGCCCTGGCACCAACACTGCCGAGTTTTGCGTGTTTATAGTGCCACTCGTGCCATTTGTGGCTCCCAAGCCAGATTCTCCCGATCGCCAGCCTCCCGGTGGCCTTTCCCGACGCGCAGGGAAGAACGACTCAGGGATGCGGCGAGGGACAGCATCACGAGCCTGGAAGGTTCCCAGTCCTGCCCAGAGGCAGGGGCTTCGCGGTGGGCAGGGTCCAGGCCTTTCACCCTTTCCCGGGCACTTCCCACGATGCACGCCCAGGAGAGAGCGCCAGCGGCCCAGGGACTGCCTTTTATACCGTTTGATTTCTTTTGAATTTGTAGGATGGCGCAATTCAAACAAACCTAGAAAAACAACTTCTTAAATGTTGTTAGAACAGGTTTGAAGAAGCGTTTCGTTTCCATGCTTCCGTCAAGGGCAGCTAGCTGCTCGCCTTCCCTCCCCGACTTTGTGCCTCCGGTAGCTGGCCGGCAGCGACTCATGTAGACAGGTGCCTTTTTGTCTTGGCCGTGCCCTCCGGAACGCTGCGCATTCAAGGTCAACAGCTACCCCAATCCCCAGTTCCCAGCGCAGGGGAACCCGCGAGCCTTGGGCCCTGTTGTCCCAAAAAAGTGATCATTTGCGATCAGTGTCACCTGTAGGTGGGGTTCCAGACTGAGCTTGGCAGGGAAGCGAGGAAGAGCGGTGTCACTGGCACCCCTTCCGTGGCCACCTTGGCTCTGGAGTCTCCCCTACCTGGCGGGCCCGAGGCTTCCTTGCTCTCTGGGTGGGTTGGGTCCAGTTAGGGGTGCGGTGAAAGACGGGATTACCTAGGGACAGGGGTAGGGTGAGGCTGGAGGAATTCTCCATCACCTGACCCAGGGAAAGGACTTCCGAAGGGAAGGGGGAGGAGCTGCCTGGCAGTGGGCGTTGGGTGGCTAACTGTTGGCCTCTGTAGGAATGCTGAGAATGCCCTGACCAGTAGCCAAGACCCCCTCGTGATCCCATGATCGTCCCTTAGGGAGCCTGGCCCCTTACTCCGGAGATGTCGCCAGTAATTTATATCTACTGGGAGCAATTCTCCAGGAGCTGCTGCCACACTCTTTGGAATATTTTTCATTCAACAAATATTTATTGAGCTACTACTATATGCCAGGCATTGTGCAAGGCACTGGGAGACAGTTGTGAAAGGAACAGACACAAATCTCCACAGTCAGGACAGGGGACCTTGGAGTTTGATCTTGCAAGGCCACTCCACCTGGTGGTTCACAGATATACGCATGCCAGCTGATTTGTTTTCCTGGCTAGAGAACCGCCTCTGAAAATAACTCTCCTTAAAGAGACACCTTAGAGCAGCCTCAGCCTCCCTATACTAAACGAAGTCGGGCCAAGAAAGGGAACACATGGTCTCGTGTCCGGTTCAGTTGGCTGACAAAACAAACGGAACAAAACAAAACAAACAAGCATACAGACAACCCTCCCCCAAACAAACATGCGGACCCAGCATGTGTGCTTGTGTTTGTAAGTGCATACGGTGTGCACTAATTTCATTAACTCTTTAAACAATCAGTTTGATCTTCAGAAAGGAAAACATGCATCTGAGGGAAAAAATTCTAAACAGCACGAAGGATTATAAAGCGACAAGTGAGTATCTTCCAGACCCTCAGCCCCATCGCTGGAGTTGTTGCCCCGTATCGGACAAATATCTACCCACCACAGCCTTAAAAAAGGAATTAAGTCACACTGTCCTCTGTTCTTGGTCCTGCCTTTTCCACCTTCGCCCGAGACCCAGCGCTTGCTCCTGGAAGCCCGCCTCCGCCTTACCCCTTCTGCGCCCTCACTGCTTGCCAGCCTCTTGTGGCTTCCCCACAGCGTCGCCAGTTTAGGGTGTTACCTAAAATTTTGATTTTTGTGGGTCTGATAGATTTCTAAAAGAAACGAATTAATCTAAGAGGAAACAAGGGAAAGCAAGAGAAGGAAATAATGCAACACCCGGCTGTTGCGTTCGGAGGTCGCGTAAGCGTGGGTCAGGGCGAGGCCGGGCGGTGGTAACCAGCGCATCAAAGCGCCCGGCTTTCGGAGACCCGCAACCCTCGGCGCGCTTCAAAGCCAGGAGAGCGGAGAGTGGCGGCGGGGCGGCGGGGTCAGCGGGAATTAGAGCGCCGGGGCCGGGGCAAGGGATCGCCACGGGGCGAGAGTTCGGGACAGGATTAGCGGGTTCAAAAGCAGGTCAGGGAGAGCTAAACGAGGCGACGAGGTCCGTGCCAGGTCAAGGTCCTCGGTAGAGGCGGGCTCCGGGCCGGGCGCAGGAACGGCAGAGGGGGAACTGCAATCGCGGGGCGCGGGGAGGCTGGACCGGAAAGCCCGAGGTCCGAGGGCGCGGAGGGGCTGGACGGGCTCCCCGGGGCAGGCCTCGCCTTCGGGCGGCCGCGGGACTAGCACCCAGCCGAGCTTGCGGCTCGGCCTTCGGGGAATGAGCCGGCAGGGAGGTGAGCCCGGAGACCCGCCCGAGACAATTTCAGTGAATAAAGAGCAAGTGTTTCTGATCTCTCGATGCGCGCACATGTATCTGCGGAACAGGGTTAGCCTACTTTTATTTAGATGTTTTATTTTCTTTTAGATTTAAACCCCATTTTTAATAAACTTTTTTTCCCTTTCTGGCAAGGTAAGAACATCTCTTACGCAAATAGTTCAACAAACTCCTCGGAGCTGTGCGAAGGAATTTCTTGCGGGGCTCTCTCTCTTCCCGCGGCAGATTTCTGCGGCCTCTGCTAAGGAACAATTGCGGAGTGTCACACCTATGTGTAAAGATAAACACCACCCACAGCCCACCCTTCTGTGAATCCTGAAAGTGTATGAAGGGAGAGCTGGAGGGACAGCGGAGCGAGACAGCTCTTCCCCGAAAGAAGTGAGTGTTGGAGGTGTGTGTGTCATTCAGGGAGCCCCTGACTTGAAACTTTTTTTAAAAAAGAAGAATGAGAATGTATTCACATATTACTTGAGTTCGCTCTCCTGAAAGATCTCTTGGATGCTGGTGAAGAATAAACTTGGGGATATTGCGTGATGCGAAGTGGGTGATCCACTCAAATTCTGGTGTTGGTAGATAAACAGACGACGGATAGCTCTGAGTCACTTGGTGGAAGTGGCCCCGCTCCGGTCGCCATCTCCAGTGTCCCCACGTTCGGTCACTCCTTCCCCAGGGACCTGCTTCTCCTTCCCCATCCTCGGCCTTTCGCCTTCCCTTCCCCAAGAGCGAGGCCGGCGCCATCGGGAGAGAGGGAGCCGGGATGCTCAGGCATGTGTCCTGATCTCCACGAAAGCCGGCCTCTCTGGATTGGGTTCTGCTGATTTTCCGCGGAGAACTCTCCAGAAGAGCCCACTCCTCAGGGGCAAAGTTTGACAGTCCTGGGACGACGGTGATGGTGAAGGCGGTGCTGGACTTCGTGGAGATGGAGGGCGGAGGGTGGGTGTGTGAAGATGGCAGAAAGGGACCGGCAGGTAGGGAAGAGAAGCCAAGAAAACTGGGTCCCAGGAGCCCGAGAGCCAGAGCCGGGGTCGCGGAGAGAGGGAAGGGGCGGGGCCGGAAAGCCGGAGGCCGCGCACGACCCAAACAAAGCGCCGCCGGGTCTCCGCCGACGGTGATCCGCCTTTTCCCCAATTTCTCTTGAATCTTTCGATTTGGTCGGCAGATCGGCTGGTCTAGGTGGGGACAAGCAGGCTGGGAGCCGGTCTAAAGAGACCGATCGCTGGAGAAATCCCACTCACTCAACCAACCGACATTCAGCTCCGCCCAACCCGACTCTGGTCGCGGGTGTGGGGTCGGTGGGTAGTGGTCAAGGGGTCCCTTTCCTACCGCTGCGTCCAGATGCACTCGGTGGCTCTGGCTCTGTTCTGAAAGGCCCTGGGAATCTCATTCCTGCTCCCTGGCCCCCACTGGCCGGTCAAGGTGCAAAATGCGTTCCTCCAAGTGAAAATACCTCTTTCGGATTTTAAATCATATAAACAATGTTGAGACTCTTCTTAATGCCGCTTCCAACCTCTGCACACTGTTCAAAAGGTTACAGCCAAGGTAATATAATTCAAAGAAGAAAAAAAGTCCCTATGCCCAAACCTAAAATCCTCCTCCTCATTCCTTAAAAAAGGAGGGAAGAGAGGCAGTGTTTTTTCACTGCACATTTAATTTACATCCTTTTAGTCACGGTGAACATGTAGTTTTATTCAGCCTTTGCTAGTTCGGGTCTCGCCTACGTATTTGTCAGGTGCTATGGTCCCTATAAGTATACCTTTCAATGGCCGCGTAATAATACGTTACTGTGTAAAAGAGCCATTCAATTGTTAGATATCCCAGTGTGTCCAGTTTTTCAGCATTAAAATAATGGTCAAACCAAAATGATCAAATATATAGCTTTCTCTTTCGGGAAGGTTTATTTCCTCAGGATCCTTACTGGCACAACAGGATAGGGACATTTTCACTGCTCTTATGTATTGCCAAACCACTTTCCAAAGCAATTTGTACAGGCATTTATTTTCGGGTCATTATGGGCTGGGCGTGGTGCTGGTGGTCAGACCTTAAAGCCTTTTCCCTGCTCCCCAAGGTTCTGCTGAGACAGGCTCCCACAGCAGGGATTGCTGCGGAAAGCGGGAAGCTCTCCAGGAGAGGGAAGACGAGGCTTGGGAGCTCTGGGGTAGGGAGAAGGCCGGGGTTCCTCCCCTGCCTGAAAAAACCCTGGTCAGCCTTCAAAGTGGAGGTGATGGCAGACAGTCTCAGGCAGGGCTTGTTAGGTAGAAACTGAGGGAAGGACAAAGTGACCTTTGCGTGCACCGACTGGGCGCTGGGAGAGCTTTGTAGGTTTGGAGAGGGCGTAGTGGCTTATATTTTGCAGGAGTGTAGAATGTGGGTGGGAGAGCCCGGAAAGGTGAGACTCACCACCCACTCCAATGGAATTGGAAACCTTCCTCATCATTGAGCATTTGCACTATTTTAAACGAATGCTATGTTAAGAGAGGTATACTTAGTCATTATTTGTAAAAATTGCGTTTTGTTGAAAGGAGCCCACATTTCCTTATTTAAATATACCAACTGTCCTTTAAGAAACAATTCCTTCCCTTAGCTACAGTAATATGTATCTTAAAAGTAATACATATATTACTTGATTTTTTGCCACGATAAGAATATATTCATGTATTATGTGGTTAATTAAAATCATAAGTTAAAACAAAATTATTGTAAAATAATCAGACTGAAGTGTATACAAGTTCCGCGCCTTAATCCTCCCTCCAGAAGTAGCATGGCTGATAGTTACAATATTGCTTATGCCAACTATTTATATGTTTTTTGTAACAATGATTCATATTATCCCTGCTACTCTACAAACTGCCCTTAAAAAAAGAAAACCAGCAAAAGACCATGGCATTCTTACATGTCAATGGATGAAACTGTCTCATTTTTAACAGCTGTCTAGATATCATTATATGGAAGTTTCACCATTGTTTCCTCTGTTGAAAAACTTACATAAATAATACACGAATGTCCTTTATATCATAAAGCAATTCAAACAATTCCAGAATATAAAGATAAAACATGAAACAGTGTGGCTTTTTTCTGATGTTTCCCCTCTTCATGCTTGCCTCCACTCCTATCCCACCCCATTCCTCAAAAGTGTGAGGTGAGAAATTTGGCGGTTGTTCCTTTAGCCCTCCTTCCAATCTTAAAAAAAAAAAATTGTTGGGACTTTCCTGGTGGCGCAGTGGTTAAGAATCCGCCTGCCAATGCAGGGAACACCGGTTGGAGCCCTGCTCTGGGAAGATCCCACATGCCGCGGAGCAACTAAGCCTGTGCGCCACAACTACTGAGCCTGCGTGCCACAGCTACTGAAGCCCACGCGCCTAGAACCCGTGCTCTGCAACAAGAGAAGCCACTGCGATGAGAAGCCCGGGCGCAGCAACGAAGAGTAGGAAGGAGAGTAGGAGAACCCGCTCCCCGCAACTAGAGAAAGCCTGTGCGAAGCAACGAAGACCCAATCAGCATAGTGATTCTTTTTTCTTTTTTTTCAGATTATATTCATTATAGGCTATTACAAGATATTGGGTAAAAATTTCATTCATTTTTAAGGCTGATTCATATTCCATTGTGTGGACATACCACAATTTGTTTATTCATTCATCAGTTGATGGACATTTGGATAGTTTCTACTTTTTGGCTATTATGAATAATGCTGTTGTGAATATTTTTGTAAAAGTTTTTTATATTCAATATCTTGTAATAAACTATAATGGAAAAGAATCTGAAAAAGTATATATATATATACACACAACTGAATCACTTTGCTGTACACCAGAAACTAACACAACATTGTAAATCAACTATACTGCAATTTAAAAAAAAGTTTTTGTGTGAGTATATGCTTTCATTTCTCTTGCGTATATACTTAGAAGTGGAATTGCTGTGTCAAACAGTTAACTCTGTGTTTAACTCTCTGAGGAAGTGCCACACTGTTTTCCAATGTGGCTGCACCATTTTACATTCCCACCAGCAGTGTATGAGGGTCCCAGTTTTTCCACATCCCGGCTAATACTGGTAATTACCTGTCTTTTTTATTATAGCCATCCTAGTGGGTGTGTAATGGTATCTCATTGAGGTTTTGATTTTCATTTCCCTAATAACTAATGATGCTATCTTTTCATGTGCTTATCGGCCATTCATATAGCTTTGGAGAAATGTGCGTTCTCTTTGTATTGTTGAATTGTAAATGTTGTTTGTATAGTCTAGATATAAGTCCCTTATCAGATATATGATTTGCAAATATTTTCTCCAGTTCTGTGGGTTGTCATTCACTTTTCTGATAGTGTTCTTGTGACGCACAAAAGTGTTTACTTTCGTTGAAGTCCAATTTATCTATTTTTTCTTTTGTTGCTTATACTTTTGGTATTATATCTAAGAAACCCTTGCCAAATCAAAAGTCGAAGATTTAGGCCTATGTGTTCTTCTGAGGTTTATAATTTTAGGCCTTACATTTAGATCTCTGATTCATTTTTGAGTTAATTCTTATATACAGTGTGAGAGAAGAGTCCAACTTCATTATTTTGCTTGTGGATATCCAGTTGCTCCAGCACTCTTTTTGGAAAAGACTATTTTTTCTCCATTGAATTCTCTTGGCACCCTTGTCAAAAAGTTCCTGTTTCTTTCTGACATGCGCTTATCATTCTTTGAGCACTTCCTTACTTTCTGGCACAAGATGCTTCAATTTCACCTCATACCTTTCCATGCTCTAGCTCTTGAATCAGCCATTTCCCCCAAGGAGTTCTTGTTCTCTTAGTGGAAAATGTTATTTTAGAAGCGAAGATCTGGGTCCTAGCCATGGCCATTGCTGCTGGGGGTTGTAGCTATAAGACCCTCTCGGTGAACAGAGCCAGGGAATGTGTGAATGCACCTATAACACATTTACACTTACATTTATTGAGACCCATAAGTTCACACCAGTAGCTCCAATTCCAATCCAACAACACAGGGCTCTTCTTTTCTGTATTTGTAGCTCCCTTCTCTGAAGTGAGAAACCTGGCTCCTAGTATCCTCAATCTGTTTATTTGATCATTTCTCTGGCGTGTAACCAGTTTCCTGTTGCTGCCTTGCCTCCCCCCACCCCCTGGTCCAAATGCAGGGGCCCTTCTCACCCTCTTGGGGCTCACTCAGGACTGAACCACTGGGGCCTCCCTACTTGGATCCCAACCCCCGTGCTGGATCACTGTGGCACACATGCTCCCTTGTGTGGACATTTGCCTTTCTGGGCCCCATGTAATGGCTTTTGGGAAGACTTTTCAGGAAGGAAGAGCAACATTATGGTTTTATAGATCCATCCCTGTTTTTCTGTGCACACCTAATCTGTTGCTTCGCCCTGCTGTATAACACTCCGTAGTGTGTGACCATCTCGTTTTACTTATCTGCTCTTCTGGGGAAAGATACCCAGGTGGCTCCAACTCCCCTGCCACCTCAAATAATGCCACAATGAACATCCTTGTACAGGTTTCCTTAAGCACCTACGGGAAATACCTTTGGGTTATATACCCACGAATAGAATTTCTGGGTCACACGATATGAAAATGTCTAGCTTGCCTAAACACTGGCAGCTTGCTGTCCAGATAGCTGCTCCAGTCCATACTTACCAGCAGGGCACACAGGTGTCTGCATCTGCGTATCCCCTCTGCCCCCAACTTGGCATGTCTGACTCTCTAGTTGCTGGTCTATGAGGCATAAGGGGATATTTTGCTTTAATCTTCATATCTCTGATTATTAATAATCTTGAGCACTTCTCCAAGTGCTTGGTGGTCTTTTGGCTTTCCCAGGTCTGTCCGTAAGCATTTAGCTATGTTGGTCCTCTCCTTCCTTAAGACCTAAATAGATCTGACTCTTCACATCATTCTCCAACTTTCCTCCCTCACTTAAAATGTCTTGAAAATCTTTTCATCAGTTGCATGAAAGTCCAGAGCTTGGGTGACCCATAAAGTAGTAAGCCATTTCCCTATCAATGGGCATCTGGGCTCTTTCAGGAGTTTTCACAAACAAATGCTCCCATAACCATCCTTGAACATACATCTCTGCACATCTCTTTAGATGAATTTCTAGAAGTGTTGTCTTTAATTTAGAATGTACATTTGAAGACATTGTATGTAGTCACATGTAACAGTGTCCTCAAGTCTGTAGTGGAGACTTGGGACTCAGTCAGACAGAAGAGTTTGGGAAGAAAGTAGGCATCACTGAGAAGTGCTCCTGGTTTTGGAAATGTGAAGAGGCGTAGAAGGTGGTGCCCAGGAGATAGAGCTGAGCACAGAGGAGTGGTCAACCACATTGGCCAGGATATGCCAGGCAGCTGGGGAGGAGGCCCCCTGACAAGCTTCCTGAAACTGCCCTGTAGACTCCATCAGGTCCAGAGTCAGAGGCTCTGGAGGGATCCATGTGGAGTTGTGGGTCCACTGATGGGAGTATGAAGTGTTATATTTTCATAGGAACAAGGACTGTCTTCCCCTCCTCCCTCCCCCCGCCATGGCCCCGGAGTGTGGAGGTGGAAAAGTAGCCATCTGGCTGATCACAAACATATTCACAGTCTGAATTTCTCCTCTCCATGTGGATTGGCAGGATGCAGTTTTCTGCCATGTAGTTGGGCAGTTTGTGCAGCGTACAAGGTCGCCTGGCCCAGAAGGTAAATGGGAACTGAAAACCAGCCTAAGCTCATTTTCAGAGAGGTGTTGCATGGGTTAGAGGTGGACCTGCCTGTGAGCCAAGAGAGCCAGTGCCCAGGGCTCCTGGCCTCAGGCCAGCCTCATGAAATTGTCCAGGGGAGGGTCCCCAGGACCTCTCTCTCCCCAGCCATCTCTTCCGGAAGACGACATGTTTCCTTTCCCAGCAGTCCCCCAGGGAGGTCAGTCCAGGCTCTCTGGGGAGATCCTACCCATCGGGGCCTGAGTGGGATTCTGCAGTGAAGAATAGAATTTTCACAGGCTGCAGACTGAAGCAGCTGGGTTGAGCTTTCAACTTACTTTCTTTGGCAGAGAGCTGAGGAGGGCTAATTATATATACCAACTTCTGGCAGTTGAGTCAGAAATTAGAGATGGTGCTCCCTCTCCCTCCTTTTGGAATCCACAGCCTGTGACAGACACAAGCACAGGTAGAGTTAGGAGGAGCCAGAGACAG